ATCCAGTTGTATATTCGTGGCAGAGGAAAACTCAGATACCTTAATGGTGAGCGACCCATGCCAGATACTGCTGATCCATAATATGCTGTTTGGGATGCTGAAAACTCCATAGTCATGACTTGGCTAGTAAAATCCTTGGAGGAGGACATTAGCAGCAATTACATGTGTTATTCCACAACCAAAGAGCTATGGGATAGTATCACATAAATGTATTCTGACCTTGGAAATAAATCTCATATTTATGAACTCACTTTGCGAGCCAGAGAAATTCAGCAAGGAGGTAATAATGTGATAAAATACTTCAACTCTTTGAAGCGGGTTTGGCAGAAACTTAATCTCTTCAACACTTACAACTGGAACTCAGCAGAGGATGCCAAACACCATCAACAGACAGTGGAAGAAGGTAGAATATTTCAATTTCTTGCAGCTCTGAATGAGCAGCTAGATGAAGTTCGTGGCAGGATCATTGGGAGAGTAACCTTACCTTCATTGGGTGAGGCCTTTGCTGAAGTCAGAAGAGAGGAAACTAGGAGAAGTTTGATGGTGAGAAAGATCAAAATTGTTCCACCTCCTCCTAAGATCAATGCTCTTGTTGCAGAAACTACCGCCCTTAAGAGTTCAACTAACTAGAAGAATTTTGCAAACCTCTGGTGTGACCACTGTAACAAACCACGTCATACCCGGGAAACTTGCTGGAAAATTAATGGGAGACCAACTCATCTAAAGGGCAGCAAATCAGGTTCTAAAGTTTCAGACCCTTCCCTATAGCTTATGAGGCAGAAATGACTTCTTTGATAAAGGAACGAGTTGAGGAACTCATAAGGTTGTTAAATTCTAATTTTTTATGTGGTACCCCTAGTGGTTCTATGGCACAAACAGGTAATTCGAGTACCCCTGGATACCTTAATTGTACCTCAAATATGTGTGTACATTGGATGATTGATCAGGTGCCTCGGATCATATGACCCGTCTTTCTTTTTTATTTAAAACCTATTCTCCTTGTTCAGGAAGTGAAAAAATTAGAATTGCATATGGTACTTTTTCCGCAATTGCAGAGAAAGGGAATATTACCTTATCTAAAAACATTGACTTAAAAAATGTTTAACATGTACCTAAAATTACCTATAACATTTTCTCTATTAGCAAAATCTGCACGGATTCCCATTGCAGTGTGAAATATTTTGACACTCATTGTGTTTTTCAGGATCGGACTTCGGGAAAGATGATTGGCAGTGCTAAGATGATGGATGGAATTTACTACTTTGAGGATACTTTCGAAAATAAAGAAGCTCGGGGTCTAAGTGGTATGAGTTTTGTACTTGTTAGGGACCAAATAATGCTCTGGCATAAGAGACTAGGGCACCCGAGTTTTCAATATCTTAGACATTTGTTTCCAAACTTATTCAAAAATGTTGATTGTTCTTCTCTTGAATGCGAAATTTGTTTTCTTGCTAAAAATCAGAAAGCTTCTTATTACTCTCAACCTTATCATGCATCTAGACCTTTCTATTTAATCCATAGTGATGTTTGGGGTCCTTCAAAAATTACAACCCAATTTGGAAAAAGGTAGTTTGTAACATTTATTGATGATCACACCTGATTGTGTTGGGTTTACCATATGCATGAAAAATCTGAAGTTCCTAATATATTTAAACTTTTTTCACAAATGGTAGAAACTCAATTTGACACAAAAAATATCCATTTTGAGGAATGACAATGGAACTGAATATATTAATAAAAATCTCAATGAGTTTCTAGAAAATAAATGCATTCAGCATCAATCGACATGTCTAAATACTCCTCAACAAAATGGCATTGCTAAGAGAAAAAATAAACACCTCCTTGAAGTAGCTCGTGCCATCATGTTTGAGAGTAATGTTCCAAAATATTTGTGGGGGGATGCTGTCCTAACATCAACATATCTTATAAATAGAATGCTCGCTCATGTGTTAAATTACCGCACACCTTTGGACACTTTCAAAACAATTTTTCCAGCATGTCAATTACATACTGAAATGCCTTTGAAAGTGTTTGGTTGTATCGTTTGTATGCATACACCCTCCATATCTCGATCTAAACTGGACCCAAGGGCAGAAAACTACATTTTTGTTGGATATTCTCCAAACCAAAAAGGGTATAGAGTATTTAATCCTATTACAAAAAAGTGTTGTGTTAGCATGTATGTTACCTTTCTAGAACATCAACCTTTTTTTCAAAAAAAATTCCCTTCAGGGGGAGAATGATAATGTGAGTGAAGACAATTTTTTACATTTGCATGAACCATTGCCTATCCCTGTTGTGCACACTGAAAATATATATTTTATTGATCAAACAAATGAACACAAGTTACACAACAAGGAAGACCATGTGGAAACAAGTCTTGAATTTTCCAAAGGAAATCCTATGCCAAACTTAGGTGGAGCCCGAGCAAGGAAAGAAATAACACAGTCAAATAAATAGTGTCGTGTTTATGCTCGAAAATATCCTAAAAGGATCAAAAATCAGTCCATCATCTCAGCACCAAACCAAGTATAATTTCCGGAGGAAGCCCAAGGAGACATACCAAGAGAAAGTCAAGGTAACACTGCAATTCCCACTTCTACGATTGATCTGCCCATAGCTATTAGGAAAGGAACCAGAACCTGCACTCAAAACTAAAAAAAGGCTACCACAAACCATCCCATTTCCCAATATGTTTCTTATAAAAATCTTTCCTAGAATCACATAGCCTTTACCTATAAAATAACAATTTTCTTTGTGCCTAGAAACATTGAGGAAGCACTAGATGATCCCAATTGGAATTTAGCAGTCTTAGAAGAGTTGAATGCATCGAAAAAAGACTGGGACTTGGGAACTTGTTGACCTACCACGTGACAAAAAATAGGTGGGTTGTAAGTGGGTCTTTACCATTAAGTGCAAGGCTGGTTGGAGTGTAGAAAGGTACAAGGCAAGATTAGTAGCAAAGGGATTCACCCAAACTTACGGAGTAGACTATCAGGAGACTTTTGCTCCAGTCGCTAAACTTAACTTTGTTCGAATTCTTCTATCCCTTGCTGCAAATTTAAACTGGCCTTTACATCAATTGGATGTAAAGAATGCTTTTTTGAATGGGAACTAGAGGAAGAATTTTTTATGAGCCTTCGTCCGGGCTTTGAAGAAGAACTTGGAAGAAATAAGGTGTGTAGACTAAAGAAGTCATTATATGGGCTGAAACAATCTCCAAGAGCATGGTTTGAAAGGTTTGGAACAGTGATAAAAGGGCTTGGATATATCCAAAGCCAGGCTGATCAAACATTTTTCTGTAAACATTCAACAAATAATAAGATTTCTATCTTGATTGTTTATGTTGATGATATTATTCTGACATGTGATGATAGTTTGGAACTCAAAAATGTGAGGGAGAAACTTGCTAAAGTTTTTGAAATCAAGGAACTTGGCCCATTGAAATACTTCCTTGGAATTGAATTTGCAAGATCAAAGGAAGGTATCTTTATGAACCAGCGAAAGTATATTCTAGATCTTTTAAAAAAATCAAGATTACTTGGATGCAAGGCTGCATAAACACCCATGGAACCCAACTTAAAACTACAACTAGCTGAAACATAAAATATGGTGGACAAAGGAAGGTATCAGCGAATAGTGGGAAGGCTAATATATATCTCACGCGCGTCCAGACATAACATTTGTTGTAAGCATGTTAAGTCAGTTTATGCATGCACTAGGTCATAAACACTTGGAGACAGTTTTCAGAATCCTAATATATTTGAAGGGATCACATGGAAAGGAACTTCTTTATAAAAACCATGGACATCTCCAGGTAGAAGGCTACACTGATACTGACTGGGATGGGAGTGTGACATGCCGAAGATTAACATCAGACTATTGCACCATTGTTGGAGTAAACTTAGTTAGTTGGAGAAGCAAAAAACAGAGTGTTGTAGCAAGGAGTAGTGCAGAAGCTGAATTTAGAGCACTTGCTCATGGAATTTGTGAGATATTATGGGTGGAAAAACATCTATAAGAATTAAAGGTTCATAGTTCTCCTTCAATAAAAATATATCGCGACAACAAGTCAGCAATATCTATTGCCCATAACCCGATCCTACATGATAGGACCAAGCATGTCGAAGTTGATAAACACTTCATCAAAGAGAAGATAGAAAGGGGCAGCTTTTTATTACATATATTCTCACTACAGAACAATCAGCAGACATCCTAACCAAAGGATTACCCAAAAATTAATTTGACAACATCACTTGTAGCTGTGGTCAAAGGCATATTGAGCTCATTCAAGACGTATGAGATTGCCCATGTGTCAAGGGAGGAAAACATGATGGCATATGTCCTATCAAAACTAGGAGGCAGAAGTATGACATGTATCAACTATTCTTTCATCAAGAAACACTTGAGAGACTCCACAATGGTCATTGTGGCCGTCATGACACCAGGAGCGGGGAAACTGACATAGATCACCTTGATCGACATACATTGAGAACGATACTCTACATATGAGATTGTATTTCACTCATTTTTGGATATGAATTTGGCATGTTCTAATCATATTTTGTATTTATGAGAGAACTAAAATATAAGTATAAGTATGATTATTCTATTCAAATGTAAATGTTGTATAAGGTGTCCTATAAAATTTAATTGGAATGAGTGACACAGCGTTTGACTGTAGCATTTTTCATATCATAATCATTTATGTTAGATGGTTTCTCTAGTTTTTTTTAAAATCTTGTTATTAATATTTAGAATTGTTTGAACACATGTGGGGATGTAGCTCAGATGGTAGAGCGCTTGCTTAGCATTGCCTTACATTTAGACAAGGGTCTTCATAGAAACAACTAATTTTCTGCATACCGAAATATCACCGCGGTTGATGTTTTCTTGAAAAACATTAAGGAAAAGATTGTAAAATAAGAATATAATAAAAGAAAACGTAAATTGTTAAGATTTGGATTCCAGTAAGTACTGTTTGTGACATAAGAATGCATTTACTTTTCCATCCAAATGACACATCGAAGACACTGTCCTTTACTCAATAAATCAAAAGCTTTGTTTATGTCCTTAAACTCCACTTCATGAGTCACAAATTCATCCAACTGCAGTTCCTGCACTTAACAAACAGGCCAAAACTTAACTCACTGGAAATCTCCCAAATCACTATCTTTCTTTCTTTTTTCTCCTAACTTTTTCACTTTATTATTACTCGACTATTAACTATAACATCATGAATAATAACACTATATCACACAGTAGAGAGAACAAAAACATAGTCCAAGAGAAATTGATTACCTTGTCCATGTAACGCTTAAGCAGAATCGGAACATGAGATTTGGGTTTGAGTCCTCCATACAAGGATCCCATGAGGCTCTTCCCATCATGAAGAACCTCACTTGAACTAAAACTCAATCTAGCTTCTGGCTTGTCCACTCCTAAAACAATTGTTTTCCCCCAACCCTGAAGGAAAAAGTATCAGCTTTTCGGAATTTCAATTTGGTTACCACAAACAAAGTGATTGAGACAAGTGGTTACTACGCTTTGGTTAAATTCGAACAGGTCAGATACATTTGAGTTCAATCTCTGCATGAATTATACCTTTCTGCAGGAAGCATATGCTTCATGAACCAATGACGTCATACCAACACATTCAAAGCAATAATCTGCTCCTCCGTCCGTCATCTCTATGATAACCTGCTTAGCAACCACATTTTGATAGATGATTACTAAAGACAATTTTCTTATGAAAAACATTTACGAATTTGCCAACAATAAAGAACTTCGATACTAAGCATGTAAACTAAAGTTAAGATTGAGGCTTTCAAGAGGCTAGACCTGGCTCACAGGTTTGTTCCCACTTTCTTCACCGTGGACAAAATCTGTAAGTCCAAACTTCTTTCCTGATTAAATGAAACCAACAAATCGTCAGATCAAACTCTGAATTCTTGCGTAATAGCCTCAAAGTGGTACAATTCCTTTCGTTGATAACAAGCCATGCATTACCGATTTCAAATTTTTCAGGGATGACATCGACACCGATAATCCTAGTTGCTCCACAAAGTCTAGCTCCCTCTGCTACCTAAGAAATCAATCAATTGCAATGAGAATTTTAGAAACCACAAAGATACAAAGAAAGTGAAACCTTGTTTAAGAGAATCCATACTGCTAATCCAACAGATCCCAGCCCGAAAATAGCAACCGTAGAACCTGGCTCGACACCTGCTGTTCTCCAAGCAGCACCTACCCCTACAAATGTAGATTTTAAACAACATTGAATCACGAGAACGTTGTTAACTTGTAATACAAGAAAACTATGAATTTGATTCATGACCAACTAACTTCACCCTACTTTTTTAAAGGAGAAAAAAAAACTACCAGTTGAAACACCGCAACTGAGAAGACATGCCCGGTCAGGAGGGATTTGTGAATCAATCTTTGTTACATTGGCGATGTCAACCACAGTGTACTCGCTAAAACTTGAAACAAACATGAAATGATATATGATCTCTCCGTTTAGGTCGGTGAATCTAGTGCTCTCATGTCTTGGCATCCAAGGGGAAACCGTGAACGGGAAATTAGTACAGCGGTTGCTCTTGGTTGATTTGCAATCTTTACACTCTCCACAATCAGGTAAGAAAATTGGAATGACTACATCTCCTTTTGTAACTTCAGTTACATCCTTTCCCACACTTTCCACAACCCTATGTCACATGAAAAATAGTTGAAAATGAAATCTATCATTATCTTCTTCCCAAGGTCTTCAATCTTTGAGTATGCAGATGATCATCGACCAGTAACAAAAGATAAAATAAAAACACAAACCGCAAACAATGGACACAGCATTTGTTTATGCAGTTTGGCCAAATATGCCTACTTCTGCGACTCATATTCAACAATCAATTCACAATGCAACAAATCACTCAACCCACACAATACAAGAGAAACAGAGAATCTATGTTACAAAACAGTGTTCAAATTATGGATCACACCGCAATCAAACAATGTCTACAACAATATCAACCCACACTTGTGTTATGTTTGTAAATTACAAGATAATAAATGGTTATGCAGAAACTCACCCAGCTGCCTCGTGACCTAGAATTCTTGGGAAAATGCCAGGAGATTCCTTCAAAAACATGTAATAGGGTATTCAAATAAATAAATAAAAAATTATAAATCAATAAATAACATGAACAGAAAAATATTTTAAAAAGTAAACCTGCATCTTCCAAAAAGTGAAATCACTGTGGCAGAGAGAAGTACACAGAATACGAATCCGAACTTCATGAGGCATTGGTGGGGCCACAATGATCTCTTCTATAACCAATGGTTCACCTGGTTTTCTTGCAACCGCAGCTACAGTAAAAAAAATGGAACAAGCTAAAGCTATAAATGCATTGAAAACAAAACTGAAGAAGAAATGAAACATATCTAGATATTGAAACATGATGGACACCTTTGCATCTTATAGGTTGTCCTTCTCCTTCTTCGTTTGTTGTTGCTAATATATGATTGTGTTCCATGGTGAACCGAAAATTAACAGGAGTTGTTGCTTCTGACTCTCTGCACTTGAGAAACAAAGTAGCAGAAGAAAGTCACTCACTTCACATTCTACTTGGACCTAACTTTTAAAACTATTGTGACTATTAGGTTCAAATTTTCTTTCAAAATTTTTGGTAGATTAAATAAAATTTTTAATATAGGCCAAAATTTTTGATAGATTAAATGAAATTTTCAATACTGAAAACTTTTACTTAAATGAAATTTTCGATAATGTTATTTGTTTGATTTTTTATACGTTTAGAATTTTGTCGACAGTTTTTGATGGGTGTGATTGCACCGACATTGTGTTTAAAATTGTAAAAATAAATGAGCCCAAAATATAGTGTTGTCAAAATTATAAAAATAAATAAACCCAATTACTTTAAAAAAATATTGATTTTTTTTAAATATCAAATTTTTTAATTTTAGAAAAAAATTGATTATTTTTTTATTATTGAAAAAAAATGCTTTTTTTATTTATTTTACTTTTGGAAGTCAATTTTTTTGAAAAAATCGCATTTTTTTTTGGAAAAAACTGACTTTTTTATTTTCTTTTAAAAAAAATCTTTTGTTTCTTTGGAAAAATTGTCTTTTTTATTTAAAAAAATAACTTTTTCTATTTTCGAATAAAATCGGTTTTTTTACATTAAAAAATTGACTATTTTTTATTTTAAAAGATTGACTATTTTTTATTTTAAAAAATTAACAATTTCTATTTTCAGGAAAAAAAAACCTATTTTTAGTTAAATTTCAAAAAAATCTAATTTTTATATTTAGAAAAATGAAAAATTCAACTTAATTATTTAGTAGAAATTTTGTTTTTATTAATATTTATTTATTTTTTATAAAAAATATCTTTTTAAAATATATATATATATATATATATATATATATATATATATATATATATATATATATATATATATATATATATATATATATATATATATATATATATATATATATATATATATATATATATTAAGAAAAACTAAAATATTTGGGAATTTCTTAATGCACTATATATATTACTATTATACCACGTAAAAATATTTAAATGCTCATAGATTTCACAAATGTATCTCCGGACGCACTCTATACACATACAACCCATACTATTCTCAATGGCGCTCTAGAAGTTGGGTATTTTTACCCGAAATGCATCTCTGAAATCTGTCTGTAGATGCACTCTCTCGTAATATATGTGCAACACTATCAGAGGAAGAAACCAAAAAACTTGTATTTTGACAAAATAAAATTACTATTCATAACATAAAATCAACATTATAGATTATTTCAACATAAAATGAAACATTACACTTCAATATTCAGGTGGACGCTTCAACGTCTTCACAATATTTTTGATCGATCTTGAAATCGTAGCTTCCAACTCGAGCAAAACTTTTGTTTCAAAACGAAAAAATGTATTCCACATAGTCCTTACATTTGCATCCCTCTTGAGCTCAAAGTCGATAAACTTAGTCTTTCTTCTGTTATTAATGCGGTACTCGAACTTGACAATTTTCTGATTGTCTTTATAAGGTAGAAGATTATGGAGTTCATATTTCAGACATGAAAAGAGGTGTGCTCTTTGAGCTTAAACTTTCGTTTAGGTGTTGCGCATGAGAATGAGACATTTGCAACACACCAGATGATGTTTATTTGTGACATTTGAGACATTTTATATTTGTTAGAAATAAAAAAATCAGAACCCTTAAATTTATAGAAAGTTGTAGACATATGTGGACCACAAAACTTCTATCAAGCATCAGTGTTGGTTTCGCAAATACATTTCTGAAACTGCCATATTGTCTTATTCCGAAGATACATCTCCGGACCCTTTCCTGAACCAGGCATAATGAAACATGCACAAAATAGAACCTAATATATGACTTTGTTTGGTAAATGAGCAAATATTTTGGCAAAGATAAAAAATGTATTAAAATATTAAGTAATTGTATATATTACACTTCATTAATATTGAGACACAATTATATACACTTATTTGTCCGGCTAAACAGAAAATTAAAACGAATCGAATAATTTATCATCGACTAAATCTATCGGTGGTACCTCCCTTTGACTTTTGTATATTTGATTTTGTTTCAATGTTGCTCAATTTCTCGAACTCTTACATCCTTTCCACAAAGTGATCTGGCCAAATCTCGACTTTTGTTGTTGAATGAGCTTCCCACTCTGGTGATGTAAATGGTATAAGGCATCCCGGTTTCATGTAAAATTGAATAAAATGTCGTGATTTTGAAAGCCATCCAATACACATGATACGATCTTTTGAATTTTGAGGTGGGGTGGTGCGTAGTGTGGAAAAGGTTTCCGAAAAGTTGTATCGTGTAAGATCAATACAAACTTTGTCATACGCACATGTTATAAGGTGGCTCATTTCAGGGAAGCACATTCATTTAGCATTCGGTGTCGGTTCACTAAGGCAAGGAACAAAAGACTCATAAATTGCATCAAAGTTTTCTTTATTTCCATAAAGTCATGTGTATGATCATTTGAGTCCTCGACTCATGGATAAGTTGATGGCAAACAAATGTATGATTATCTTCTCATTTACCGAGTAAACCTGAAACAACTCAATAACCGCAGTTACCATCACCCTTAACATTGATGATATGCTCGATGTATTTGTGCATAAAAATCAGTATCTTGTCAATTAATGGAAAATTTGGTGGAGGTGGTTTGTTGATGCAAGCTCCTTTAAAATCACTTTTTTGAGATTTTGGAGTTTGTGAGTCTGGAAAAACTTTGTCAACACGTCCAAAATACGAGACTACACCGTTGAATTATCACTTTGTGTAGGCTTGGGCTTCTTTGGAGCACCTTTTATTTTTATCGGTTGAAAGGGTGATTTTAAGTCGGTGGTTTCTAGCTAAGCAATCTTCCTCATTTTTTATTTGATGTGTGGTTTCATATTATCATCGGCTTTCAAAAATCTCTCTTGTATCACTTCTCATTCAGTCAACTTGATGGAATTAGGATGAGTCTAAAATATATCTCTAATGGTTACTTCATCCTCGTACATTCGGTACCTAGACACATAACTGTTATCATCCAACAGTTTCAAGACTTGTTGCATTTTAGTTATATCCCCCCTCAGCGTCTTGTTAGTTTAGTACTGAATATTGTACACTTGCTTGATATTCAAAATATTTTCTGGTCTTTTATATTTCAAAGTTGCAAGTATATTTTTCGGTTGAACCAAATTCAATGTCATGTCAGCAACACATTCCTTCTCTTCCGGTAAGAGGCGGCACATAATTGGATGGCCAACTAACTTTTCACATAAGTCATGGTTATGTAAACCACATATGATATTAAATCTCCATTTATTATTTGCCAACATATAACCAAATAACTTAAATGGACACTCACATTTTCTTGAATTGGTTTCGTCTCGTTTAAATTTTGTAGAGGATGTATATATTTCCCGCTTCTTTTCCACGTCATTGTTACAAAAGCACATATTTTATCCGCGCCATTATCGGACCTTTTGATTGCCACACTAAATCCCCGTTTGAAGGCCTCTGTATAAATCCATTGAAGCATGTGATCACGAAATTCAAACACTTGCTCACTTTTAAATTGGTTACAAACATATACCGCCTTCACAACAACTCCTTTGGCATCCGGAGACATAACATGTTTGGGGAAAATGTCGAGGCGCACCATATCTAATGAAAACAATTACAATAGAATCGTAAATAAGTGCTAATGTTGTAAATAGAACTAGCAAAATGATAACAGACAAATATCGGAGATGAACTTCTGGATTAGTTCATACTCATTCCAGAAATGTATCTCCAAAATAAACGCACGTTTTTCAGACTGAAAATAAGATTATTGTTAGCAATGAGGCTTGAAATAAATGATATTTACCTGAAATTCTAACTTTTTTTGCTCCCTTCAATATTGAAGATTTGGAGTAAAAATGTGGATTGAGAATAGAAGGGTTTTTGGTGAGGTTTTGGAGTGGAAAACAAGTATGGTTATGTGATCGTGTAGTTCAGAATTTTATCAATTTATTCTAGAGATGTATCTCCAGAAATATCTGACATGCAAAGGTCACAAAAATTTCAAAATTCCAATACATCTATTTTCGTAAGTTTCTTAGTCATGTATTCTCAATAATGGGTTTAATTTTGTAAAATTTTATAATAATCTATTTATATTGGTTGTTTGTTACATATGTTATTTGAACCTATGGGGTATTAGTCAGTATATTTGGCAGAAAATACGCAAACTTGTTATGATTTGTTGTCATCATCAAGTTTGTTACACTGTGTAGGAATATTCATTTGAGGTGAGAGGGAGATTATTTTACTCATGGACATGATTATGGTTGTGGGTAGAGGTGTTGACCTTAGACCTCGACTTCGGCCTTTATTTTTCTATGATATATATTGTTAATGATTTATTTTATATTGTTGTGTGTTCGTAGAGATGATTTTCGTGAAATTTAGTGTTTGGATGCATGATTATGGATTTGTGTGTTAGAATGTGATGTATTAATCTTTATATAATGTGTAGGACTATGATAAGTGTCAATCATGACTAATTTTACACATTAAAATTTGGTATTTTTCAAACTTATTTTGAGTTTTCAATCATTGAATTCCCTGAGTTTGCATAAAATGACATATAATTAGCATTTAGCTTTGGTATCCTTAATATGTGTGTCAGTATGCAGAAAATGTTGCAAGAAATCAAGAAAAAATCACAAAACAAAGAAGAATGAACAAAGCTAAAAGATGGTGAAGAAAAGGTGAGCTCGCCCAGTGAGCTTTGGCAAAGCAGATGTGAGGAAAACAAATCATTTCTAGTAGCAAAGCTTGACATGGTCTCTCGACGAGGGTTTGTGAGTTTGAGTTTGTCAAGCGAGATGAGATATTTGCCTGAGGGCGGTTTAATGCTTTTCTGGAAAAAGGATGGGCCAAAAAGTGACTTTCGTCGGGCAAGA